ATTCCGTAAATTAAATTCAAACTGTTGCAGAAGATGAGATCGAGGCAGTTGTTTAGTCTAGTGTTGTTGATTACTAGTTGTTCCAGTCCCAGATTTGTAATAGCATTGTAGAAGGTTGTGTGTATGATTTCAGTTGTACAATCATTTAGGGTCCAGTCAATATGAGGTAGATTGAAATCACCAAGAACGATAAAAGGGTATGGGCAGGATGCAGCCCATGTTAGTAATGTATTTAGCTTGTTTACATGTTCTTTGTTGCTATTCTCTGCACTCTGAGGCCTTAGCATCTTTTCTGTATTATGGTGACTAAAATTGAACACAATTGGACTAAATGTGGCCTCACTAGTGCAGTACAGAGCAATACTATCACTTCTCATGATCTTGATGTTATTCTTCCATTGCGCAGCCTGGGACTGCATTGACTTTTTTTTGGCACTTGCAGCCCACTGCTGGCGCATGCCTAAGTGTTGGTCTGCTAGGACACCTAAATTCCTCTCACAGTTATTGTTGTTGAGCCAACTACTCCCTATACTTGTGCATTTGGTTTTTCCTGCCTAACTGCAGGAAATTCACAAATTCTGAGAAAATTGCCAGCTTGGTGTTCTTCACTTGCCTATGCGTGTGCACCTTTGCGTATGATTATTTTAAATTTCAATAGAAATGTATTGTATGAAAAAAAATCCAGATATAAATTGCGGCCTTGTATAGTTTTCCTCATCTCCATTATTTGCACAATAAAATAGGTACTATTTTTAATTGATTTTTGATGACTAAAAATGGTTAGTTTAAACAACTATTTTAACAGACACCTACATTATTTATCTCTGTGAGTCTGAGCACAAAACATCCTTTTTATATTAATTTTATATTTTTATATTAATACAGAGGGAGGGAAATCTCTCCAGTGCTTCCATTTTGTTAAATAATAACAAAGGTGGTGAGGAGAACATGTAAAGGAGAGTACTTTCAAAATTCTATCTTTCTGCAGGACAATGCATCCCCTCTATGCCTCAGGTATACTATTTTCCTAATTTTAAAAATACTATTATTACAATATGCTATTGCAAATAAGAGTTAATTATCAAGTAGATCTCCATAACATTTCATAAAGAAGGTACTAGTTGTTGTACAATAAAATGTGAATAACATGTGCTCTGGATCTTGGAACCCATTACAATGCAAATATTTTTAGCATTAGTATTTTCTAGATGGATCCATTTTTGACCTTTGGGCCAGTTCCTCTCTCTCTCTCAGTCCTAGGAAGAAGGTAATGGCAAATCACTTCCCAAAAGCTTGCTAAGAAAACTGTTGGGACTTGTTCAAGCAGTCACCAGAAGTCAAGACTGACTTGAGGGCCCCCCACTCTTACAGTTATTATGTATGCCACAGCAAAACCTCTGATTTTACTTTCTTTTAGCATTTCCATAACAGGCCTTGGCAATAAAGCTTAATAAAGAAGTCCAAAGTTCACCATGATCCCCTTTAAATTTAGAAAGCTGAAACACTTTGCTTAAGGTCACTAAAATTAGGAACATTCTGTCCAAATAAAAATATGATCCAGCCAGGTCATATGAAACCTTTTGTGAGATGCTCCAAGAGACAATCAGCATTCAGACCAGTCCATCACTGTATATGTCACATTCCTACAGCATGAGTTGAAAAATCTTTCTCCTGCCAATTAAATAACCGGATAAGATGTAGGTGTCCTATGGAAAACTAGCAGTCATGGATGCTTCCCAATGAACAACAATAAAAAAAAATGAAATATGAATGTGCTGCTCCACCAGTCCACTGTACAGAAAATATAGTGACTTGCCACAAGGAATGAAATAAGTCTTTATCACTAACATTATTATATCTCTTAGGCATAAAGATTTTATGTATTTTACTACTCCATTATTTCTTCATTGGTTAATTAATGCATTTAGTTGGAGGAATTAGGGAGCTACGGATAGGCAATTATTTTGTTCTATTCTCCCTAACAGATTTTCCTTGATGGGGGGGGCGGGGACAGAACCACTTGGAGGAATATCCAAAAACCTCCAAATGAATGACATTGCTATTTGGATACAAACACCCATGCCTATACAAAGGTTTTATTAAGGTGAGGTATTACTATCATTTTCAGTCCCTATATTATCATCTCTAAGAATTGGAAATGCCAAGAACAAGGAATAAAGAATACCATTGTGGATTAAGTTTCTGAAGATTCTTAGGAACAAAATCCCTCACTCTCACTATGCACAAAAGAAAAGGGAAAAGAAGAGAAAAAATACTCAGTAGCCCGATTCTATATATTTGTTGCCGAAGAAAAGTAAGAAATGAAACAAAACTTGTGTCTGTTTCAGTTGTTTTCATTTATTCTGGATTGCTGGAGGAACCCATACAGGTTTAGCTCTTAATGGACCTAAATCTCAAGAGCCAGAAACATTCCTCCTAATGGGACAATATCATTTAAACAACAAAACAAAAAGAACCTCTAGCTTCTCAGTAGTTTCAACTATACAATGCAGTTGAAAACATGACTGCATGACAAAGGACCTGTGGTGTTGTGTATCACTGTCGAGCATTCCTCACATTCTTCTGCCCTTCCATTGGCCATCACTCTCTGAAGCTGTCCAATGGGGGCAAATGGGAGATTAAATGGCAATTAGCTGGTATGCTGCCCCTTTCTTGTTCTTCCTTTGCCAAATTTATTCTTAGTAATAAAGGAGAAAAAAGTGAGCTGAAAAGAGCAAATGGTCAACCCCATCCCCAGCACTATGCTGATAAAGCAACCACTCAGAGCACCCAGCAGGTGATGAAGGAATGATAGTAAGGCCCCATAAATGCTTTGCTTCAGAAGTGGGGGGGGGGGTAGAAAAGGTCCAGGAGCCAAAGCAGATCAAGACAGGAATTCCTCCCATAGCCCAGTCTAGCTATTAATCAGTTGATTAACTTCAAAAGTTCATTGGTTCAGCTGATAAAGAACTCTGGGAGTGGCATGGCATGATGAGGATATGCAAAAGCAATGCTAAATCTTGAATGGCAGGATCAAGAAACTCTTATGGCAACGTAATAGTTAGGAACTACTTTCTCATTGCCACAGAAATCTCATGTGGAAGTGACCATGAGCAGCAAGAGTTTCTGAGTTATTTACACTTCTGAAAGGAAAAGATACATATTTTATGCACATAGACGACAAGAACACAATTTGGTACAATTTGAGGTACAATTTGAGAAATGGGCAATTGCAAGATTTGGTTTGCAGTTTTTATAGTCCAAGCCCCAAAATATACTCAGTGGAAGACAGACCATTTCAATGAGAAAGTAATAGAACATATCACAGATGGGGTAAAATTGTAGCAAAATGGAATGATGATGAAGAACGTCATGTCAGCCAATGACCACAGAAGCATCTTCAGATAATGCTGGCTCACTCGGCTAGGAAACAGAAATGAGCACCATCTCCCAGAGTCAGACACGATTGGACAGGGGAAACTTTTACCTTTTTTTAATGCAGCTATAAGTGTGTCCCTGTTGTCAATAGGGACACATTGGAGATTATCCAGATCTGAGAAGCAAAAATCTATTCTCAAGAACAGATAGTATCTATCAGCAGATTAGCAAGTTCTGTTTGATCAATAACTGTAAAGTAAATAATTATGCAAAACTTTGTATTTTGTTTTCTTGCTCCCTTTTTGAGCTCAGAGACAAATTGTGACAATTTAAGGTGGGCCACCAATATGCTATTGTAATTTCTGAGAATTTTGCCACATACTGATCATCATGAAATTCATAACCCAGGTATCTTTTGATTTTGTTTTTATGTTGCCTTACTGGCAAAGGGATGGCCACAGTATCACTTCTTCTCAGGTAATTAAAAAAGCACCAAATCATAGAAATAGATCACAGATGCTTCATATTCTCTCATTTTGGTATTTGCTCTGGGTATTATTGCTGATAAAGAGAGACATTGAAGAAGTGACTTCTTCCATATGCATTGTGATTTCTCATATTGCCTTAGCAATATAGGAAAACACTGCTATATAGTTGTTCCTCTGCTGCCAGAACCTAACCTTTAAAGGTGAATAATTGTGTGATTGAAGCTTTTGGGTAGCTAGGCACTGACACAGATATTGTCAATAGGTATTTCTCTCATACAAGAGATAGTGAACCATAAGCTGCCTTTTTTTGTGAATAGTAACCATCTCATATAGGTAGCTTTCGATTCTGTGAATAACTGCACAAAATTATCTAACCATATAAGACTCTAGTATCACGTCTTACAAAATCTAGAAAGCATTGTGCTCAAATGAGACCCAATTATGAGTTTTAGCTATAGAGTACAGGATTCTGAGAAGATGCTTACAAGACAATATTGTGGGATGGTTCTAGGTATTTGCTTATTCTGAAAACACAAGTTGCTATAGACAAAAACAGGCTAAGTTCACTAGCTACCGTAGTAATATGACCTTGAATCTGCCCTATTTCTATAATGTTGCTATTGTTTCCCATTAACAGTCTGTAAAAATATTTCTCTTTCAATTATGGTTAGCCACTTCTTCTAGAATATTTCTGGCAGTTATAATATCCCATTATATTGGATTAGCTTAATTAATATTGGAACCATTTCATTTCTAGAATATTAATCAGGGTTTTCCCCCCCTCAGAAATGAATACTTAACCAAGACTGATAACCTGCAAAGAACATGGAACCTGAAGTGGTTTCAGCTGGGCTAACTAAATGCTTTCTTGTTTAGTTCCTAATGGGAAGGAAAATAACTGAATCCAATATATGGATGAAAGAAACTTTTTGTTTAAAATAATAAAAACAGTACAGTTTGAGAAGCAGAGTTTTAGTCTTAAAAGCTTTGTTAGATTTAGAAATTAATTGCCAAAGATAATATAAATCTGCATCGATACTTCTCTCAAATGCCCATTTGAAGATCTGTACCCTGCTCCAATTTAGGCTCCAAATTATTCCATGAATAATTACATAAACCTGTAGTTACACATACCTCAAGCACCATCTCAGTCATTTGAAATCGTCTTTGAGAGCTTTTGTCGGAAGTCACTGGTTCATGGAGCAGCACACCAAACATACCGTACTTCTTTAAGGCCTGCTTGTAGTTTTTCTCACTCAAGTCAACCACACGATCTTTCCCATCATAGGTAGGGAAGTTCAGTCCTTCTTCAGCCCTGTAGCAGGCAAGCATATAAAAAACTGCCAGGAACCAGCAAGCTACCTTCATACTGCTGTCCTTCCGTGAGTTTATCTGGGAGACAAAAGGAAATTTTAGGGGGAAAGCCTAGAGAAATTCAGCAATCTCTGTGCACTGTTTTGATCCCCACGTTTTTTCCAGTAAATTGATCTAGATGGATTCAGGTCACCAGGAAGCATCTGCAGCAAGTAACCCTTGTTTGAAGACAAAGGCAAAAGAATAGGACAAGCAGGGAGACCAAATCCTGGATCCCTTACATAGCTCAGGCCAGCTTCTGTGTCATCCAGAACTCCATTTTTAGGAAGCAGTTGTTTAAAGCTATTAATAGATCCTACAATGAATTAAAAGGAAAGATATGACACGATTGAGAGACTGCTGGCACTCTGCCTCTGAGTGAGAGAAAGGGAAAGCAGAGGGTGGGGAAGAAGTTAAGGGAGATTTGCATTCTTCCTTGTGCAGAAAATTGGCAATCATCAATCAGAATGCACGAGTTTATGGCAATTTCCCTTGCAAATACTTTACTGTATTATTTGTTTTACTAAAAACAAAGTGTTTTAAATGAGATGTTTTAATTATCATTCATTTTGTGAAGGAAAAACTCCATAAAATGCTTATGGGGTTTGTTTGTTTTTTGGGGGGGGGATTGGAGGGGTTTTCATTTGGTTCATATGTACCATCTAATTTCCAGGCCATAAAACTTGTCCTATGGCTTTATAGTTCTTTATAGTTTAGTTGGCTTTATAGAGTCGTCTGCTGGATTACTTCTCAAATAGTCTTTATATCAATTTTATATTTGCTTTATATCATTTTTACATTACAGGAGGCATGATGAAAACCCTTTAATAACGCAAGACATCAGCAGATATAACTGTAGATAGTTTGCACCCACCCCCTCTCCTAGAAAAATTAAATATTTTGAGAAATATTAAAAAGGCAGAATATTATATTTCCCTGGATGAGAAATGGAGAAACATGCTCTTGGAAAGTGTTGTATACTTGTTTTACATACTTGTGATACTGCATTCCTATTGGACAAGTACTGCCGCCCAGCGATTGGTAGATAATAACAGTTATTATTGGCCGCCTAAGCGGCGGGAGTTTTAAATAAATGTCATTGGTTGCTGAGCCGCGAGCAGCCGCTATAAAAGGGGCTGCCGCGGCTCGACTTCAGTTGAAGTTACTAACAGTTAAATAAAGAGCTGAACTCAACTCTAGTCTCGACCCTACTTTGTTCCGGCGATAGAACACTGGCGACGAAGGTGGGATTGAAGGAACAAAGACCGTAAGCACGTGGCAATGGAAGCCGAAAAATCAACGAGATGGCCGGCAACAACTCACCACCCGCACCATTCAACCCAGCCGAAGAAGACTGGGAATCATATATTGACAGGTTCCTGATGTTCTTAGAAAGCAACGAACTACAAGGAATCACTGACCAGAGGAAGAGAGCCCTATTCCTGATGCATTGCGGTCCGACCAACTTTAAAATGACAATGGCATTGGCGAAACCAAACAATGTCAAACAGATGGCATGGCCAGACCTGAACTGAATGCTGAGAAACCATTAGGCGCCTGTTGTCTCCAACCTCATTCGAAGACACGAATTTTACAAATGGGATCAACGAGAAGGCGAGAGTATTGGAGACTTCGTCGCAGCACTAAGGGACATTGGAGGGGCATGCGAGTTCCTCAACATGGATGAAGCCATGAGGGATCGCATAGTCCTCGGATTGAGAGACGCTACCCTGCAGAGCAAACTGCTCAATCGACCCAACATTACTGTAAATGAAGCCGTCACTGAAGCAACCGCAGCTGAGGCAGCAAAAAAATCTGTGGCGAATATGAAGCAAATGAATATGGCCAACAGTCCAAGCCAGAACAGAGAAAAGAAAGCGGAAAGTACCCAGAAACATACTACTGCAACCACCCACCATGAAGACATCGAGTCATCAACCGACTCTGAGGAAGAATACGAAGAGGTAAACAGACTCCAGTCAGAGCGAAACCAGCGAGAAAGAAGAGGGAGAAAACCTGATTTTCAGTGTGCCGGATGCGGAGGAAATCACCTGCGTTCTGAGTGCCGTTTTCTGGATGCCATCTGCAGACACTGCGAAAAACGGGGGCACATTGCAAGGGTCTGCCGAAACAAAAAAAGCTATAGTCCAAAAAGATGAGGCAGTACCCCTCCCAGAACTAAGGAGAAGCCAACTGGAAGTCGTTGGAGCCGGGAAAACAGAAGTCAGCGACTCAACGAAAAGGAAGAAACACATCAGACGATTATTATTGGGAATGCCAGAGCAAAGGTCCGAATAAATGTCAAGATAGAAGGAGAGCCATGCGAAATGGAAGAAGACTCCGGCTCATATCTGTCAATGGTATCATGGAACACAATAAAAAACTTGATACCAGACATACAACGAAAAGAACTCGAAGAGCAAAGCCTGATGATAAAAGACTACCAAGGAAACAAGATTCCGGTAGTTGGATTGGAACATTTCAAGGTAAAATTTAAGAAACACACTGAAATTCTTCCATTGACCATCGTTGACCGAGACCGCCCCAGCCTGCTTGGTTTAGAATGGTTCGCGCCCCTGGGAATCGAAGTGACAGGAATCAACAGCGTCACCGTGACAGACTGGGAAAAAGACCTGATGGAGGAGTTCCATGACGTATTCGACGGGACCTTAGGCAAGTACCGTGGGACCCCTATTTCATTTAGCCTAAACCCGAACATAGCCCCCATCAAGCTAAAGGCCAGACGCGTTCCCTTTGCGTTAAAGCCAAAAATCGATGAGCAGCTGAACAAACTCATCGCACAGGGGGTGTTAGAGCCAATCAACCATGCGAGATGGGAAACCCCGATTGTGACTCCCATGAAGCCAGATGGGTCCGTGCGCATCTGTGGTGACTATAAGGCCACCCTGAACCATGCATTGCAGCAGAGCGCATACCCCATTACAGTAGTCCAGCACCTTTTGCACTCGTTGGGGGGAGGAAATTTTTTTGCAAAGCTCAATCTCGCGCAGGCATATCAACAGTTGCCGGTTGATTCCGAGACGGCAGAGGCACAAACTATCGTAACACATAGGGGGGCCTTTAAATGCAACAGATTACAATTTGGTGTCAGCATGGCCCCCGGCGTTTTCCAAAGCCTGATGGAACGCCTCCTCCAAGGACTAAAAGGGGTGGTTCCCTATTTTGATGATGTATTAATATCAGCCGGAAATAAAAAACAACTAAAGGACCGACTAAGGGCAGTCTTGCAAAAGTTTAGAGAAGCAGGACTCAAGGTCAAAAAAGAAAAATGCAAACTTGCCACAAATCAGGTTGAGTTCCTAGGATATCTTATTGATGAAGCAGGAATCCACCCCACCGAGAAAAAAATACGAGCGATAAAAGAAGCACCCAGACCCAAAAACAAAACGAATTTGCAGGCATTCTTGGGACTCATTAATTTTTATAATGTCTTTTTGCCGCAGAAGGCAACAATAGCGGAACCACTGCATAGACTACTCGATAAAAAAGCCATCTGGAAATGGGGCCAACAAGAAGAAGCTGCATTCCAAAGAATTAAGGACTTGATTACATCCAAATATGTATTGATCCAATACAGCGACATGCTACCACTGACTGTCACCTGCGATGCTTCACCATTCGGCATAGGTGCAATACTTAGCCACATACTACCTGATGGCAGGGAGGTACCAATCGCCTTTTATTCCAAAACATTGTCCAAAGCTGAAAGAAACTACAGCCAACTGGATAGAGAAGCCTTGGCCGCTATCTCGGGGGTAAAACGTTTTCACGAATATCTTTATGGTAGGACATTTTCTTTGATTACTGACCACAAGCCACTGCTAGGAATCCTGGCTGGAGACAGGGCCACCCCCAACATCCTGTCTCCAAGGATGACAAGATGGTCGGAATTTCTTGCAGCCTACAATTACAAGCTTGTCTATCGGCCAGGAAAAGCCATACCCCACGCCGACGCATTGAGCCGCTCACCTCTACCAGACCACGACGACGACCCAGCTCCCACCACACACACCCTGCAAATTGAAACAATATCGAACTTGCCCATCACCGCATCGGACATCGCAAGGGAAACTGCAAAAGATGCACTAATGGGCCGACTCCTGAACTGGGTGGGGAGGGGTTGGCCGGAAAACATCAAAAACGAGACTTTTAAACCATTCAAAAACCGGCAAACTGAGCTGTCAATTGAAAAAGGATGCATATTGTGGGGGGATAGGGTTGTTTTCCCCTGAAATTTACAAGAGGACGTGCTGAACATGTTACATGAGGGATACCCGGGCATGGTAAAAATGAAGTCCCTGGCCAGAAGCTACGTCTGTTGGCCAGGACTAGACAAAGACATTGAAACCTGGGTCAGAACATGTAATAAATGCCAGTCGTCCAGACCTACCCACCCTTTAGCACCGGTCCTTGACTGGGAGACACCCAGAGGCCCCTGGTCAAGGATCCACATAGACTTCGCCAGACCCACAAAGGGATATACATATCTAATCATCGTCGATGCCTATTCGAACTGGTTAGAGGTCAGCATCATGAATTCAACAACGACTGAAGCCGTCACTAAACAACTAAAGAAACTCTT